GTCCATCGTTGTTGCGACTAAAGATTTATGTGCCAGTTGCTGCTTCAACTGTAATTTACAACAGACGCTTCGCAAATTTATGTGAAACTGTGGCTCTAACACTTCAGCAATTAAATATATTCTCCATAAAAAAAAGGGGGAAAAAATACATAATACACATTGAGCAGTCACTCGAAATCAATTTCAGTTGAATTTACAATCGAAACAGATAAATCGTTGGGTCTTATAATCGAACTTAACGCTAATAAATTCTCATATTCCATACTACGTTATAGATTAGATATCAAAATGCGTGGAGCAAGCAGCTCACGTAGTTCTCCAGAGTTCGAATTACATATTAATGCTCGATGCACTGTCTGGGCTGTAGTGAGTGCAGCACGACAGCAAACAGTTGCTATCAGAGCAAGAAGTTCATTGCAAACTTCCATCATCTGTTGGGTTGATACTCTAGAAAGTGTGGGTCGATGTTCAGATATGATAGACAATAGAGCTTGAGCGTGAGAATAATATTCTTATACTATATGAATATACTGTGTTCGTTGGACTCAGTTATATTCTACTGAAAGATCAAGTATTGAAGTTTACAATATCGAAAACATTTGAAAAATTTTGTAGATATAGATGGAACATATAATGTGCCGTAGAGCTGTAAAACCATAGATTGTGGCTCCATCCGATGATTTTTTCCCATCGACCATTGTAGAATTATCGATAGAATCAATTCATCGATCGATCTATTGCATATATTCTTATCAGAGCTTGAAGAATTTCCATTTCGTTTACATTTTACATCTGTAAAATATCTTTCCTCGCCCCAAACTTATATTTTATAGAGTATGCCAAGGTCCACTTACAAAATCCTACGTGTTTTTGCATGTTCTGTTATGGGGGTCATGAGTCAGATGCGTAAACTTCAAAATCGACATTTTCACTAGTTTCTACAACCGCTTCAGTTCAAGAGTGCCAGCATAAAAGGGATGGTGGGGGCGTGCCGCTGCCTGAGCTAAAGGCGGAGGGAAGGACACGCTCTTCATTTTTTGCTCCATTTGTGTGTTATGCTTTTTAGATATTCATATTTTGCCATTGATGATATTTTCACTACTTGCGTATGCATAACACGTACGTAACCCACACAGATGCACACACACACACACACATACACAAATAGACTATAGCCATAACTACATGTATATATTTTAATACATACATATGTATATGTATGTAATGTCTGGCTGTACCTTTTGGCGTATTAACTCTACCAGCTCGTCTCTCTGTGTGTGGGTGTGTGTGTGGTTCTCTGCTATCAAATGTTTGTGCATGTGTGTGTGTGCCTTAAATTTGCATATTTTTTGACTTAACACATCCTTCAAAAAATTGCGAAACGCGTTTGCGATAGCTTTGGCATTTCCTTGACGTCTTTCCGCTTTCCGTTTTAGCTCTCCACATATTTTTGCTGTCTATTTTTTGCAGCTCTTTCAACTAGTGATGCCCAGCAAAGGGTAGATGGGGTATAGCAAATGCATGATACAGGCAGTAGAGAATATTTTGTAGAATACTACTAATAAAAGAGAGAATATTGTTGATATGATTATGGATATTGTAGATCAGAATCTTTTTCCTTAAATTTCAACTTTAAGAATCATAGGAAACCAATTCAACGGGCTTACAATCAGCTCAAGTGCTAGAGAGGGTATTTTTTCGTCGTATAGCGCCTGATTGTCTTAGAGTATCTGCTTGTCTAGCTCTTTCATTTAGACTCATCTCATCAGATTCTCTGTTTGCTATCCACAGGGTCTGCTGATGTTTTCCGCAATACTTTAAAGCGTGCCTTCATTTTTAACATTTCCACACACACACACTCGTTGTCTCTTTCTCTCTTTTATACACATTTACTCTCCCTCTCTCTGTTTGTTCCTCTTTTTTTTGCCGCATTCAAATTGAATTGTTTGCATTTTCCTCTGTTTATATTCACAAACGCATGCAAATTGGTTCTCAGTTAAATTTAATGGATTAACTGGTTTTTAAATTCTTCAGTTAAACGCGACTGCGGCTGCTGCTACTGCTGGAGCTGCTGCTTCCGCTGCTGCTGTGGCCTGGAGGCCGCGCCTTGGCGCTGGCGCTCTTCAAGACAAGTGGCGCTAATCCTTGACTTTGCTGCTAATGCACGTCGTATGTCAAACACCAAAAACGTTTACAGCACACTACACCCAACATCTACTTTTACCCCCACCTCCGCCAGACTCTGCAGCGACTCCTGCTACTATTGCTGACTACTTTGGCATTGCCTTCATTGCCTGCTTTGCTTCTTCTCACAAGCAACGCAATTTATATGCCTTCCACTGCCTTTTGCTTGGGTGTGTGTGTTTGCCTTGGCAAAGTCTTTGCCGCTGTCTCAGCCGAAGCCGCAGCCCCAGCCCCTGCCCCTGCCATGGCCCCGGCCCCTGTCGCTGCTCCAGTCGCTGCCGCTGCTGCTGCCCGCTTTGTATGCTATGCATTTTTCTGCACTCTTGACTCTTAAGCGTGCACTTGGCCAGTCAGCCCCCCAATCTTTATATCCCCCCACTTCTCGTTGTCCTTAGAGCTGCCCTCATGGCTGCCTCGTCAGCAGAAGCTCGTTTTCTGTGCGTTGTTTGTCTTAAGGGATATGTGCACCAAGTGCCTGCCAGTGTGTGTGTGTGTGTGTGTGTGTGTGTGTGTGAGTATGTGTATGTGTATGTGTATTTGTATGTGTATACGTATGTGTGTTTGCAAGCACTCTGCCGCAGGCATTTTGATAAAAAAAACAAACAGCGCGCTTAAGTCATACCAAGTGAGAAAGAGAAGCGAAAGAGAGAGAGCGAGAGATCGAGAGTGAGAGTGAGAGCGAATGAGCTGCTGCAAAGCTGAGGCACATACAAGCTTAAGTGTCATTTATGCGTTTTAATGTTGGAATTTAATTTTCAAATTAACTTGAGAAGTTTATGTGGTTTTATTTTATTTTTTTCTTCACTGTATGCATGTATGAATGTGCTCTCAGTACCAAAAACTTGAGGATAATTTTTATTAATAAATATATATGTATATATAAATATAAATATGTGTATGTAGGTTTATTCTCTGTATATATCATTGAAAAGCGCAAAATAAAAACTACTTGACATCTTTGAGTTATGCGGCATGTGTCCTTCTAGCTAGGCTGCCTTTCAGTTTATATAAAAACTTATTAAAATCCGAATTTATTTTCTTAATTTTTAATTTTATATGAGTTGAGAGCATTTGGCATCATGATAAATACTTGAGATATTTTATATTTGTATTACGATATATTCTTTTTGAATTGAATAAATAGAAACTATTTATGCAGGGCACACTTCAACTAATCATAGCATACTTTTCTGCATAATTCAGAGTTAACTGTTAATTATTTAAAAATTTGATGCATCCACCGTTTCGTTTTCAACAATTGTATAAGCATGTTAACTGACAAATAGATTGTTGTGTTAGCAATAGAAAAGAAATGATATACAAGTGCCTGGATATCGCTATGTTTCTCATGCACTGCGATTTGGCATTGCAATTGTGCTGTTAGCACAAGTTTATTTATGCCCATTACCCAGTGTCCCTTGTCGTAGTATCCACTGTACCATTTGCCACTTTCGCTTGTTAGGCTCAAATGTTGCACATAAATAAATGACAGAGCTTGTTAGGTGGCATGTGGCAAGGAAGCTGGCAACGGGCGACGGGCGATGGGCAACGGGCAACAGAAGTGCAGGCTAACAAGGAGTCACAAGTCAGACAAATCCCTACAGTCCCCTACGAGAAAAGACAATGAACGAACGAAAGAGAGACATAGAGAGAGAGAGAGAGATGCACAGAGTGAGTGAGAGATGCAGACTCATTAGATGGCGCTCACACTCACACACGTGTGTGTGAATATATGTATATTGTATATAACACCACCTGCATAAGCTTGGCATTCGAGTTGGGGCATGCAGCAATTGTCTTAAATTACATTTATTTCTTGCTCAAAATGTGCAGCGACATTTAATTTAATTGCAATTTATCTATCGTGCGTAATTAATTTCATAAAATCCCAGTCATAAAACAAACTCAAATAGAATGAAAAAAAAAAAAAAAAAAAATTATGCTTTAAATGCTCATTCAGCTCGAGTTGCATTGCATCATTTAATAGCATTAGTGAATGCTTTTCAATGTTGCGTTTTATACAGATGCCACCATAAATAATAATGTGCAATTCCATTTCCATTGTCGATTTATAGCATCTGCTCGATTCAATTGAAGTTTTGCAACTCTTTGTGTCGCTGCCCATTAATTTTTGAACAACGACTGTGGCAGCAACAAATTGAATGGCCGCAACTGAATACCCCTACTCGGTTATTTGCATACATACATATATTTTTATTATTAGCATTTCAATATTTCATTTCATATCGCGGCTTAAGTGCAAGTTTATATATGTATATATGTATATATAAATATTTATATATGTATGTATATAAAGTGTCAATGCGAGTGCTCAAGGGCTTTGCATACGATTGAAAAAAAAAGAAAAAAATAAAACACACCTTTTAGTCATATGAATTTAAATCGTATTTGCATTGTCCGTCTGTCTGTCAGTTTCCGGTTTTAAATATAAAAAAATATATGAAACATAATCTGTATAAAATTTAGTATAGAGTGTAATTTCAACCTAGCTTCATTCTATACTTATAAATGCTTTTAAATTTATTTATATTATTTTTTTGAATTCATTGCTAAAAAAAAAGAAAAAAAAAATTATAATATCTATGCAAAGAAATTTTGATTTTTACATCATTTAAAATCTGTTAGACTTGACTTTGTTCGATTGTCTAGCTGATCGATCTAACGTTAGCACATAGTAGTCTTACAATAGTTTTATGCTTACAACAAAATAATTTATATAGAAAAGTGAAAAAAAAAAAAAAATCGTATTCGTGTTTTTTTTTTTTTTTTTGCCTGGCCAAACAACAGGTAACAGAATGACATACCATGATGATCCCTATGAATTGGGTCTCTTTTTGCACTGGGGTCCTATAGTAACGCTGATTCTTAGCGCTACCGTAACCTTGACCACCTGGAAGTGGTGGCCACCGGAGGAGTCCTTATTCTGGAGCGCCCACTTCGCACTCTATGTGCTGCTGAATGTGCTGTCCCTGTACAACTTCGTGAAGGCCGTGTTGGTGGGGCCGGGCCTGTTGCCGCGTGGCTGGCACCCCGTAAACCCCAAAGAGGCGAAATATATGCAGTACTGCAAGAAGTGTGAGGGCTATAAGGCACCTCGGGTGCATCACTGTCGTCGCTGCGATCGTTGTGTGATGAAAATGGATCATCATTGCCCGTGGATCAATCGCTGTGTGGGCTGGTCGAATCAAATGTATTTCGTATTTTTTCTGTTCTTTTACTTGATGAGCAATTTGCATGCCTTCTGCGTTCTTACAATTTCCGGCTATCAGTTCTTCATGGACAGCACCGAAATAGCTCGTCGCTATCATAACGGCAATTTGGAACGATATCTTCGCCAGCATTTCTTTGGCATATTCATGGCAATCATGAGCTTTGGGCTCACCATCGGCATAGTACTGTGCATGCTGAAGCTGCTGGTCATCCAGATCGGTGCTATACTCAAGAATGTTACGGACGTGGAACAATGGATTGTGGAGAAGGCACGCGCACGTCGCTATAAGAAGAATATGAAACCATTTGTCTTTCCCTACAATCTTGGCTGGAAATTAAACTTAGCCGAGGTGTTAAACATTGAGCGACAGCATCGCGGCCATGGCATCGAGTTTCCCGTTGTCAAGGGCTGTAATCAATATACGCTCACATTAGAGCAACTGGCACAGAAGGCAGAGAAACGCAATCGTACGCGCACCTACAAATGCATTTTGCCTGCAACTGGCAGCTGGTTGCCCATTTGGTCGCAAGGCTTGCGGGTGATTTTCGACTCTCCCCTCACAGACGATCCGCGCATCAAGCTGGAGCCAAACGATCTCATACGAGTTACACGCAAGCGCAAGCATTGGCTGTTCGGAGAGCGAGTTGTGGGCGACGATAGCCGCAAGGGTGCGATTCGTGGCTGGTTTCCCAGGCGCTGTGCTGTCGAGGTGAACGATAACGGCGACACGATCGTTAATGCTGCAGCTAAGCCAGAGGCGCCCAATGCGAGCAAACATAGAGTTGGCAAGCCAAAGAAGTCAGACAAGATCAATAAGGATTTGTAGATGTGAAATAAGCACCCAACCGTATGACAACTGAACTAGTAGCGAGTTTCATTTTACACTGAACTGCAAAATTTGTGCACTTATCGGTGGCGTGCTTGTATTTTGTGTGAACGGTTTTTTACCTCCAGAACTGTAGAGCTGTTTAAACTTTTACATTGCAATAAAATCACTTTGAATTTGAAACTCGAGCTGGTCGTTTGTTGTATTTTTTTTTTTTTTTTTTTTATGCCAGAACAAGGAGCAGAAAAAGTTATCTATGATTTTTACATGTTTAAAGCTAATCTCGCTAATTCATAATAGGAATTGGTTTGAGCCATTAAAGCTTCATGTTGAATTCAAACCCATATTAATAAAAATCCACTGCAATCGCTTAAACTTCATTAGATAATTGACATTTACAAATGATTCATTAAAAATATTCGCTTTTAACTTTAACACACTCAGCGAGTATTTTCTCTTTTTTCAGCATTTTCAGAGCACATTCAGCTGCAGTTTTTTTTCTTCTTTGTCAAAGTAATTTGCAGTGCTTTTGTAGTTTATTTTTAGTTTCTTTTTTTTTTTTTTTTTTTTTTTTTCTCTAAGCCATGGCCAACGCGCACAGGAAACAGGAACTCGCGCGCTACGCAAACGTGTCGTATAGTAGTTTTTTTTTTTTTTTTTTTTCAAAAAAGAAAAACAAATGCAGCGCAAATTTCCAAGCGCAATCAGGGCCTTGAAAACTCGAAACTCTTGCAATTTCGAATGCATTCAAATTGAAATGTATGACCCGCAAAAGTTGTAAAGCATCGCGGATTTTGCTATTGTGCTAGATGTACTACCTCCATGTATTGAGCAAGGCCATGTAAATCAATGGCTTCCTAGCCATTCAAATGGATCGCTGTCTCTCTCTCTCTCTCTACTTTATGTGTTTGCAAGTGTGTGAGTGTGCGTGTGCGTGGGTGTTATTTCAAAGGCATGAAAACAAACAATGCCCAACTAATGCCGTCTATCTCTGCACTTTATGACAGTCAACAAAGCTGTCTAAATGATCGATTGTGTTTGTTTAATGATGAGACAGCTTTAAATGGGACAAACAAAAATAATTTTGAAAACTTATGTTTGGATTTATAACATGAATATTTTTATAAATTAACTAATGTTATGTATTTTAACTAAAATATATATTTTTACTTTTTTTTTAGGGTAAGTGAAACATGTAAAAATGTGTAAAAAAAAATCTACATATTGATAAACTATATCAAAAGGAATTAAATCGGTAAGTGCAACTCACATTATCATTGCATTTGATTTGATATTAAATATTTATTAAATTTATTGCGCTTCAATTGACTTATTTGCTTTTTCTATACAACATATATTATTATAATATATTGTTCATGTTCATGCCACACGTTTTGTTGCAAGCCACACGCTTGGGAAATTATGCAAACATCTTGGTAGAAAGCAATGTAGGCAGCAGACAGCGGACAGCAGACAGCCGGCCAGGCCTGGCCTGCAATTGACGCCTGTCTACTGTCTGCATTGTCCAGGCTGTCATGCTGCGTGTTTAGCTCAAAATTAGATAAATATAATTTTAAGTTATATGTGTGTGTGTGTGCGTGTGTGTGTAAATTGTAGCAAGTTTACCATTGGGAAATCAATTGACGTTGTCATGAGTTAATGGACAATGGGAATTGCTTGTATTAGGGGCGTCAGTTCATAATGGTACAAACAAAGATGTAAGAAATCAATTCAAAGGGATGCTTAATACATGAGTAGAGGTTTGATGTAAAAGTAAAATTGCAACCGAAACCTTACTCTCATGAAATCCCATACAAATTCTCTGCTTCCTCAAGTACCGTTATATGATACCTTGTGCAGACTAAGTCTATCAGCTAAAAGTCATCTTCAGCTCTTAAGCCGTAGAGTAAGCTAAAAACTGTCAAAGTTAAAGTAAGACAAAGTCTTTCTATCTGCAGCTTATCTGCAGTGCCTTAAAACATTTAAATATTCTCTCGGTATGATCTGTAAAGCTCTTCAAGGATAAGTTAAAACTTTTTGCTTTTTATTTCGATTTAGTTGACAAACAGGCAGGAAATAAAATAAATTTAACATAAGCATTCGCCACAGAGCTGAGGAATAGAAAGAAAAAGTGGAACAAGCCTTAATGACTTTTGTCGTTGCAAAATAATTGTGCGTGAATTTTATGCTGCGAGAAATGTTGCCAAGTTTTGTGTGGCCGAAAAGCCACAGCCAGAGCTGAAGCCATAGCCAAAGCCAACGCTAAAGCCAAAGCGAAAGCCAAACCCTCGGAGCCAGGGCCCGAAGCAGTTCGCTTTCAATGTCCTGCTGACATTTAATTTCACGCACTGCCGTCTATTTTGTGCCTTGGCAACACTTTTTGACTTTTATGCGACAGACGCGTTGCGTTTCCCCCTCCGATACAGTTTTTTCTATTTTTCCATCATTTTTTTTTTTTATTTTTATTTGTTTTGCCTCTTTTGGCAACGAGCTGTTAGTGGACTCGTTTTTCATGCCAATGCATTTGCTGTGCCATTTCTGACTGTTCTCGTCCGTCCTTGTCATGAGAATGTAACGAGAGGCAAGCAGAGGGAGTGTGAGAGAGAGGGAGAGACTTTCATTTTCCGATGCAATGCATTGTGCTTTAAGCACAACGTTTTGTCTGCCAACGCAATTATGCAGCACGTTAAGCGGCGACAGCGTTTATCTGCGACAATGATACCTGTCCAGGTATCATTTACAGTTGCACAAAACAAAAGGTAATTATAGCGTCATTAGTGAATGCTACGAACGGAAAATCCACTGTGCATAAAAGCATAAAGAAAGCAGGCCTCAGCTCTCAGCTCTCAGTTTATAGTCTTCGGGCTATGGCAAGTCCGCATCATGGCCATCAAAAGTCCTACTCAAAGTAACTGGGGAAACATGTATTTGCTGCTTCTTTTACTTAAGCTCCTTTTTTTTGTACAATGTTACGCTTGTTTTAATTCTCAGTTAAATGTAATCTGCAGCAGCTCGCAGCTCGCTTGTTGACACAATGTTTACGCTCAGGAACTAAGTTTCAATATGTACCGAGTGTGCATGGGAGCAGAAGTGGAGGAAGATTGTTAAAGGAGCGAAACTAAATGTTAGAGATTTAAGACTGAGTTGATAGAGTGAAGGACAGCGGGCTTTATCAAAATTTAACATAAACTAAGTATTAGAATGTTTTCATATTTCATTTAGTAGTGCTTCAAAAAGTAAATATATATTGCATATATATATAATCTACATATGCATAAATAAAATATTTATTTGTTACATTTTATGATTTTATAGCCCAATTAATTAGAGTTTACAGTTGTAAAGCAAGTCGCAAAAAACTTTTATTGAATATTTTTTCAATGTCAATCACTTCAAAGTTCAATTTACCGCAATCACATTTTGTGCGGGGTGTGCGGGTGAGGGTGGGGATTGTGTTTGGCATGGGCTATAAATTATCGAAAATTGAAATTGATATTGAGCGGCGTTTCGCTCGCGCGCCTCGCATTCAATCAATGCAAATGCCAAAAGTCGTAGCAAATTTTCGCTTTCAATTCGGTTTTCATTTTATTTGCTTCATTTTTTTCACTCTCTCTCTATCGCTCTCCGTCTCTCTCTTCTTATATTTTGTTATTAATCTGTGTGCCCTGGAGCGTTTCGCGGCGAGTCGAATCAGCAAACTGAATCGGGAATCAGCGCGAGATGCGGCTTACAATTCCGCATCGATTAGCACATCAAAAAAAATGAAGAACCAGTAAACGAGAAGAAGCAGCAGAGCAAGGAGTGACTGACTTTTGAATAGACGTTCTGCATCATTGAAAGAACTGGACTGCAGCATTGATTAGAGCCTGCAGCGTGGGCGTAAGTCCGTTTCACCAAAATCCCATAATACAAAAAAAAAAAAAGAAAAAGACAACAAACAGCGAAGAAATACCAAAATGTAAAAGGAATACATTTTTTCTTACGCTAGCTTCTGCTGCTGAGCTGACGTCTATATTGAGTGTTTATTTATGACGCCGGACTCCAGAGCCAAAAGTAATTTTTCATTATTCAAAATAGAGTGAATTGCAGTTCCCACTCGGTCGCACTCGCTCCCGTTCAGTTTCTGTCTTTTGCTGCTGCTGCTACTCCTTTTCATTTATTCTTCATAAATAATTTATTAATTACAAAAGTTTGCTTCACTCTGGGCGCATGCAAATGCTCCCCAAACACGCGCGCCCGCCCACCCCAGAGCCCAGTTCTAACAATTTTTGGGGCAACAGTTGCAGCTACTGCCAAATATACATATATATATATAAAGTCGAATATATATATGTATTGGTGTGTGTATGTGTGTATGTATATTGCAATGTCCTTTTGCGTCTTGGCCTGCAAAAAGTTTTATTAGTTGAAGCTGCTGCACTCGGACTCGGACTTGGACTTGGACTTGGGACAGACCCTTTTGCTTGGTTAGCTGAATGCCTGGGCATATTTTTCATATTTTAATTGACAAAACTTTTTGTGCAACTGGACTGATGGGTTTTTGTGCCAAGTTTACGTTATATTGCACACACACACACACACACACACACACACACACACACACACACACACACACACACAGTCACACTTACACTCACGTACAGCAACTTGTCAAGGATAGGGCATTTCAGTTTATCATCTTTGTTTTGCAACTCGGACTGCTGCCAGCAGCTGTCAAATTTTAGTGCTGCCACAGCTGTCTAGTGGTACAAACTCTATTATAAAATGCGATTTACTGCAGATTCCATTCGAATTCGAATATTAACAGGCAACCATAAAATGCTTGTCATCTGGAAAGTGTTTTGCTACTTCTGAATGCATCAATTTACTCAATAATTGCTACGCTTTCAATTTTAACTGAAATGTTGAGCTTAAAGTGTGGAATGATTTTGTGTTTAAGGCAATGTTACTTAAGTTTTTTAACTTAGTTTTAATTGTCTATACAGTAGATTCCCGATAAT